AGCGCGCAGAATCGAATACCATTGCAGCGATATCTGATGAAGGTGGCCACAAGATATATGAAAACAAACTGATAAATGACTGTGTTAAGAAGTTCTACGAAGCCTTGTACTCTTCTCAACAAGTCCCGGAGGGGGTGCAGCTGATGCATAATTTCTTCACCCAATTCGACTTACCAAATTTGTCAGAGGAACAGAAGACTGCCCTTAACAGCCCTATAACTAAGACCGAAGTGTTTAAGGCTATTAAATCACTGCGAAGTGGAAAGTCGCCAGGGCCTGATGGCTTCTGTTGTGAATTTTATAAACAGTTTCGGGATATTATTGTGGAACCGCTTCTTGATATGTTCAACCACTCCTTCATTACGGGTGAATTCCCGCAGACACTGAAGGAAGCCAACATTTCCCTAATTCTAAAGAAAGGGAAGTGTCCTGATTTGTGCGGATCCTATAGACCTATAGCCCTCTTGAATGTAGATAGGAAACTGCTTTCTAAAATTCTGGCCACCCGCTTAGAAAATTTTTTACCTGTGCTGATAAGGGAGGACCAGACAGGCTTTATAAAGGGTCGAAACTCAGCCACCAATGTTAGACGCTTACTGAACGCTATTGTAGCTTTCAAGCAAAAATCTATTGACGGCCTGGTGCTTTCTCTCGATGCGGAGAAAGCATTTGACAGAATTGAGTGGTCTTATTTGTTGTATACTCTGGGCAAATTCGGCTTAGGGGAGAATTTTATAAAATGGGTCAAAGTTATCTACAATAATCCACAGGCAGCAGTCCTGACTAATGGACTTAGGTCTGATTACTTCAACACTCATAGGGGAGTTATGCAGGGCTGCCCCTTATCGCCCCTTCTATTCGCTCTGGCCATAGAGCCTCTTGCTGAGGCCATAAGGGCGACGCCCACAATACGTAGTTTAGAGATTGGACAGCTGTGTCATAAAATAACCTTATACGCGGACGACATCTTGATTCTTTTGACTAACCCTGTAACATCCGTACCCAGTCTCATTGAGGTGATTGACAGGTTTAGCCATTTCTCTGGCTATAGAATCAATTTGGCTAAGTCAGAGGCCATGCCTCTCGATACTCTTTTCACAATGCCGGCTACTGTTCCTTCCTTTCCTTTTAAATGGTCTCCTAATGGATTTGTGTATTTGGGGATCTTTATTACCCCGTCTCTCGACCAATTGTACAAAGCCAACTTCACACCCTTATTTGGCAAACTCAAACAGGACCTAGAGCGGTGGGCGTCACTTCCTGTCTCCTGGCTAGGACGCATTGCCCTGATCAAAATGAATGTGCTGCCCAGGCTATTGTATCCTATCCAAATGATCCCCGTCTTGTTCTCTAAGAGAGTACTGAAGGACATAAATGGTTGGCTCACCTCTTTCATCTGGAACAAGCGCAGACCCAGACTCAAGATGGCAGTGTTGCATCTGCCAAGCTCCAGGGGCGGCTTGGATCTACCTAATATTAGATTGTATCAGCTTTCTGCCCATTTAAGATTTGTGAGCGACTGGGTTAGGGGTAAAACCTCAATCTGGTCGGATATTGAGACAGCTCTGTCACAATGCAAACTGAGCGATCTATTATTTTGTAATGATTTTAACGGAATTAAGGCCCTTTGTACAAATCCTGTAACAATCAACACCCTAAAAGCGTGGCGAATTGTCCGCCGTCTTGAGGGAAGATCGAGAATAACATCAACCTTTACCCCTATAATGAATAACCCTGCTTTCCCTCCGGGTTCTTTGGACCCCGGCTTTCAACGATGGTCTGATAAGAATATTAAGTCTCTTGGTGACCTTTTCTCGGGTGGTGAACTCATGTCGTTTGAACAGCTTACCAACAGTTACGGCTTGCCTAGACAGGATTTCTTTCGTTTTTTGCAAATACGACACTATATCACTCACAATACAACCCTTGCTGAGCACCCTGAAGTATCTGATGTTGAGAGGGTTTTGTTTGGGCAACAGCTGACGGTGTCTCTGAGTTCATTTTACCATGTGCTTAATGCTTTGACTACCACTGATGCGCAGGGGATTAGAGGTGTGTGGGAGAGGGAACTGTCGGTAACCATAGATGAAGATAAGTGGGATACCGTTTGGTCTCTCGCAAAAAGGATTTCAATTTGTACTCGGACAAGAGCAATCCAATTTAAGATTTTACACAGATTACACGTATCCCCTCACCGCAGACACCTCTTCAGCCGCTCTCTTTCCCCTGTGTGTCTTAAGTGCAAAACTGATGTAGGGACTTTAACTCACTGTTTTTGGTCCTGTTATAAGCTTCAAGAATACTGGGCTGACATTACAGGTGAACTGGGGAAAATCTTCCACGTTGATATAGAGATGGACCCTTTGTCCCTGATTCTAGGTCTTCCAAGTGACCGCCTAAAAGCGGCGGCCAACAAAAGATTGTATAACACTCTAACATTTGCAGCCAGGAAAAATATCCTCTTACAATGGATCAACGATAGGACTCCCACTGTCTGTGGCTGGCGCAAAATAGTTTTTGAACTGATTCCTCTGGAATACCTCACACACGTTATACACCACAGTGTGGGTCAGTTCTATGGGATGTGGCACCCCTTTTTGGACTATATTGGACCGGACCTTTCCGCTATCTTATTCAAAGGACTACTACACACGTGATCACCACCCGGGCGCTGTAAGACTGACTCACCACCTCTTGTATGTTATATTTTGTATTTTGTATCTTGTATTATGCCTTATTTAAGAGCTGTTGTGTACGTTTTGTGTTTGTACTGTTTTGTTGTTCTGTGTCTACTGTCGAGACACTGTCGTGTTAAAGGAAAATCTGCAATAAAAACAATGATGAAAAAAAAAAAAAAACTAACTAGCTGCCGCCATTGTTGGAAACTGAGCTGGGCTGCGCTATGAATTCTGGGACCAGTGTTGCCAACTCCTCAGTAAGGAAAATCGCTATTGGTTGTCCTAAAAGTTGCTAGAAGTCGCTAAATGACGTCATCGCCTAATTTGCATAATTGGTCATGCTAATCTAATTGTAACCTATGTTGTTGGAGAGAGAAATAACATCGTGGAAGAGACATAAAGTGAGTAAAAAACGTCCTAAATGCATTTAGAGTTTAGAACTACAAATTAAATTTCTTTTAGCAATTATTGTTTTTTTAATGTCACAATTCCAACCCTGCTCCTTTACCCGGGCTTGGACCGGCAAAAGTGACCCGAAATAGGCGCTCTGGTGGAGTTACTTTGTGTGTGTGTTTATAAGTAGTTTTAAACCTTGTAATCCACAAAACAGCATAAGAGTAAAAGAGTAAAAGAAGAACTGACTGCGTTACAGCACCTGCTGCTTGTTGAGAGTAAAAGCGATACGTGCTTTCACGTCTTATTTTAGCGATTTTTTTTTTTTAGAAAAAAAGTCGCTAAGGGGTCTGAAAACTCGCTAAATATAGCGACAAAGTCACTAAGTTGGCAACACTGTCTGGGACACAGCTCCTTCTTCTTCGGGGTTTAACGGCAGCTGGCATCCTTGTACATGCAGTGCTGCCATCTTCTGTTTCAGTCCGTTATTACACTCTTAAATCCTACTACTTATTCCTGCGTCTTTTGGTATCTTACAAAGCTTCAAACGACGCGTCGACTTAAATCAGTCGTTGACGATTTTGATAGTCGACGTAATCGTGACTAGTCGACTAATCGTGGCAGCCGTAACTACTTCTGCAGCAGCACAAAGTCAGACATGTTGATCAAGGCCAACACCTTAATCATTGCTTGTTTCTTAGAAAATTTAGCATTACTATTTTACAGTTTGTCATTTGGCTCATGTGTCTCATCTGATCATTTATACATGAAGTACAAAGAGTTAAGAGACAATATTTATTGCTTGACGACACAATAAATTTATCTTGAATATAATTACTGAAAGTTAATTTCAATAGACTGAGCGTGTAATAGGCTAAGCTTCACTCCAATAAACATTGTCGAGTGAAGATGATAATTGCTCAACCTTTTAATAATCTCCCTTTCATCCATTCAGAGACACTTACAGACATATTCCAAGTTAAGTACTTTTGGCTGAGCACATGCATTTGGAATAAGGCCAGTTTACAACGACACAATTATAGAAAATAATTCCTTTGAGAATAGAACAAGTGAACAGTATGATAAATTAAATTGTTTTTGTGGTTTTTAAAGTGCTTTAGGGGCATTCCCCGATGCAACGTTTTTAACTTGGGAACTACTATTTCTCCCTATTATTTTGGAAATCTTAACATTTATACTTGATATATTTATAAATATAAACAGCATTATTTGTTGTTAGCTTTCCTATAAAGATTTGCTGGGATTACACAGAACATCTTGTGCGCATGCAAAATATGAAATAAATATGAAAATAATAAATATGAAATAAACGCTGATCAATTCAAAAACTACAAACGGTCATGCAAAGTTACCTATGTCAATATATTTTTAATTATGATACTTTATTTCATTAATGCTCCACTCAGAGCCCATAAGAGTTTCACAGAACATCTCAAAGTGGTTAATCTTCGCCGACCATAAATTAAAAGGCTGCGTCTGAAGCTGCTGCTGCTGCTATTCGTAGTCCCTCATTACTTGCTGATGATAGATTATATGCCTTCAGTTAATCATCAGCAACTAGGAAACATCAACAAACATGAACATGCTGTGAATATGGAAAGCTCTGCTCCCTGAAGCCATTTGGATTTTGATCCAGACAAAGTCATGCTGACAAGAAGCTGATGTCAGTGTGTTGCAATTACAGTACACTTCACATTCTGAAATGCATTTAGACCAGAGGAGCGAAGTGCTGCCTCTGTCTCGCAGTCGGTGATTAATATGTGGCAGCATCGTGATGCTGAAATGCTGAGTTCTGCGTGTAAAATGTTTAATAGAAATTACAGACAGCAGGACGGCACACATCCAAAGACACACATGAAACAAACAAACATACAGGCAAGTATGTTTTTAAAAAATGATACAAAGTACCTTGTCCTTCGGGAGTCTCTCCGAGAGGATTGACTTCAACTTGAGTGGCGTCGACTTTCAGGAACAGATCATAGAGCCTCTTAATCTGATCTGCTGCCTGTGAGGTCCACAGAGGACAGTAATTACCTGATGGTTCGGCTCTGAGTAGTCAGCCCTGACAAGGCTGCTCAGCCTCCCACACAGGCTACATAAAACATGGCAAATCACCTTCAACATCGCCGTGTCTTTTTATGGCATTAATGTGTAAGGAAGGCAAAGTTAAATTACCTGGTGTTAGCACACCTTTCACTTGATTGCACATAGACGTAGTATCGATGCATACCTGTTTTGCTAATGTGCCTTTTGCATTTAAAAAACTAATATTTACAATGTGGAAAACAAATGTTGTCAGTGAGAATACGGGATATTAAACACAACTGCACTTAAACATTATCAATGAAATCCTCCTTTTAAAAGGAACCTCTTTTTAATTCTCTATAGCTTTGCTTCTTTAGTGACAAAGGAAGTCTGACAGTGTAGACAGACGCGCAAAAAATTGTATCTGCACAAAGCTCCCGTCGCCACACAGCTCCTTCAAAACAGTAAAGGTATTTTAGAAATGCTGTAATTATGTCTGAATTAAACAGCTTGGCAACTGACAAACAGCAACCATGGAGAAGCGCACTAACAATGCACACAATTAACCAATAATTTTCTATTTCTCCCATTCCCTGTTTAAAATCAATTTCCTTTCAGTATCCAGCAAAAACAGGCCATAAAAAAGGATGCAATAAAAATGTCATCAAATCAAGTTTGCTTCACAAAGGCAGATTTGATTTTTACTTTTTTGTAATTTATATATTTCATTATTCTATGTGCTAGGATTTGAGTTATCTGATTTCTCATGCCAGTCAGAGCTTGTGCAAAAGAAAACAAATTAAGCCCTTTTTATACTGGACAAACATCTGACTTTTCTCTACAGCGGGAAAGGGTACAGCTGCATTTATCATCGGTCAAATGACTCTAGTCTGCTTGACGGCGTTTCTGGGTATTTATCGGCTCTGCCTTCAATCTGCAGTGATGGAAACATGACTTGCAGATTTTCTGTCCTTTTCCAGCACAAAGCTGTGACGTCGGCTTACATTCTTGACATGGCATGCAAGGCCGAAAGTCTGGCTGCTGTGTGGCTTTAGGCCCACACTGTGAAGCCTTTCATAGCTCACAGACACTGTAAACACACCTGTCACCTCCCCGGCAAGGTGCCGTTAACCCACAGACACAATTCAGCCTTTTTTTATACTGTATATGGGCAACAGCCTGCATGGATTTGCTAACAATAGCAATCACACAAACCAGAAGTTAACTGTTTTTTCCAGTGCTCGTGACGGCAAATGTGAAACAACACATAGAAAATCTGAATAAAAATCAAAATTTGTGTAAATTTGCCCAGAAATAAATACTTGAAATTTTGCCATAAAAATAGGGTTTAATACTAAGAGGCAAAAAAAAAGAAAAAAGATCTAAAGTAATCTTAACCGAGCACACATTTTATTCAGACTGTGAGCTTGGCCTGCTGCTGTGCTATTCTTCCTCAGCTTTATTTTCAGAGCAAATGCCTGAACATGACTCAAAACTTTGGGGAGAGGAGAGAAAATGTTTGTTTCACTGTCCTCAAAATCATAACTGGCCCACTGAGATGAGTTTTAGTGGCTAACGCATGATTCACTCACAAAATCAGTGTGTGCCATGTTCTACCAAATAATGATATCGTTAGTACTGTAAGCTCCCTAAGCCTGGCACAGTGCTGTGCCTCACTGCCAAGTATGACAACAGACCACCTGGCAAGTCAGCATAGTATAATGACACTTCACAACTTGCCTCTGGAAAACTAATAATAGCCAAAGTATGGCCTATTTATGACTGGGCAAGCATCTGCCTGCCTACATATATATGAATGTCAGAATCACTGATCCTTCTTTGTGACTTTAAAGCCTTCCATGGGCCCATTACCTGTCTCTGCAGAGCTCCTTTGAAACCCAAATTAGCTGCCATGCGAAGTGCCTGGTCGTCTCTCACACCTTCAAAGATATCTATGGCTTCCTGGTAGATTTGTAGAGAATATGCAAGACAGAGGAAGACAAACAAACAAAGACAAGAAGTAAACATTAGGCTATATCCTAAATAAACTATGCAATATATTTCTGATAATCATACACAGAATGGACCAACTCTCTAACAGCAATAGGCTGTCTATGAAGATGATCACAATACCTCCCAAAAATATATCTAAAAGTGCTCATCACACTCATCAAACTTTTTATAAATGCTTATGATTATCTTATTAATGAGTGCTTATTTGTAGTAGCTGAAGCAATCCCTGAGGTACTAGTGGAGCATCTGCACATGTACGAACTGTTTCTTTCCTAAACCATGTCATTCATTTTCCTTTGTAGACCACAAAATACGTAAACTGTACAAAACCAGAATCAGACACCAGAGTTATAGCTTGCACAAAGCAGGAGTACAGTAACATGGTGTAACATAATAAAATTTCAGGGAGCATATCCATCACCAAGTGATCCAGATCTATCCTTTTAGATCCTTTACCCACATTCCACTGGGTTTTTATAACATGCAGGTAATTTATGCACAATGCATCGACTGATCTGTGGGAAGTTCTGGGCATGTGTGTTTATTAGGATTGGGCAATTGGCTCCATATTCAAATCGTTCTATCCTCCCCCTTTAGCACTGCTGATGACTGATAGCATCATTGTTGGCAGAGGAGGTTATCCGTCCTCCATAAAGCAGAGTGTGTGACCCAAAAAAGCACATGGTTCAGAGAGAAACGGTGGCTGATTAGAAGCTGAACATATATAAATAAGACTTGCTGGCTCTTTTACTTATTTACCTCACACCTACAGTTTTATTCCATTTAAAATATCTCACCTGCTTCTTCTGCACTTTTCACCAACTATTCCTATGCACGTTCTTCACTGACAGAAACCCCCGCGGGGAAACAAAAAGTTAAGGAGACCATATATAAAGAAACTGCAGTCACATTAAGCTCCAGGATAAAGGAGGACAAAAAGTCAGCCTGGCAGCCTAATATATCCTCCTGTTTTCTCTCTTTTGATGATGATGGATCAGTGTCACTGCTCCGCAGACACATCCATTTCAAAGCAGTGCAAAAGTCCGGGCATGAACCTGTGTGCACGCTCCTGTGGAGGCACGTCTGTGTTCCAAGTGCTGGTTAGATGTGGAAGTGCAAAATCAAACTGTAGTGAAGCAGATTCAGTTTATTATGAATTTCATAGTAATGATAATTTCATGTATCAATGTGGAAATTAGGTTTTTATTTAAAAAAAAAGTCAACTTGATGGTGCTCACTTTGACACCATCATCCTTCAGCAAAACCCAAGTGTTTGCATTTCATTTGGTAGGAAACATGACTTCAGCAGCCTAATCTTCACTGCCCATCTCCTATTTACAACATCATTACTGCTTCACCTATTGGTGACATCTCATCCATCTGTACAGACAGTCTGTAGCACCAAACAGGGCTGGACAATAACTATTTTAATCATTTTGTTTGATAGTAAAACCACGCATTTCTCATTTATAGAAACTCTACAGTCTTTGGTGAAGTTAATGTAACGTAATTGTCTCAGCTTGATGTTTCACAACGCACATTAGCAAAATAAGATACACGTATATAACCTTTGGAGGTAGCCATCTGTAAACGCTTCAAGGTTACATCTGCTAACGACGATGAGGCCGTGCTGTCGAGAAGCTGTAAATAAAATCTCATTAATGGCAAAAGAAAACATCGAAGGCTGTGTGTGTTTGCACATGTTAAACTCCAGTGTGTTCCTGTATGCATGTGCCGTGTTCAGCTTCTGCTGTGTGTGCGCGAACAGATCTCAGCTTCCATCTGGAAACTCGGTATGATTTCAACACCCCCCCCACCAAAACCTTTATCAGTTTTAAAGTAAGATGGTGAGGGGATTATAAAGAGCTCCACTGTGCCAGTAAAGAACAAGCATCATGGTAAGATGTCTAATTCAAGGAAGTTTGGACTGCTCTCAAGTTATTTTTCCCCCCCCTCTTTCTTATTCTTGTAGCTGGTAATCACTGACAACTTAGAAATGACTGAAAAGCAGAAATTTTATACCTTAAAGATGAGTTCTGGGGTGCTGGCAGCCACCTCCTCGATATCCATACCTCCCTGGGGGCTTCCTACCATGACAGGACCATTGAAGGAGCGGTCCATTAGGATGGCAAAATATGTCTCCCTGGTAATATCCAGGGCCTCAGCAACCATCACCTGCACATTGCAAAGCAAAAACAGAGGGGCTGGATAGAAGAAGGTAGCTATGTTACTGATCTGACATCACTAAGAAAACATTATTATTAAGGGGAAAAAAAGGGAAATAAGTCATTTGTGTTCCCCTTTATTCCGACCAGTATTTACAAAAACTCCGAAAATGTTTAACTTTATCTTTTAAAAGTAACACATTTACAACTAGCTGTACAAAACAAGAACATAAGCAGAGTGCAGAGATTGGCACAATCTACGTGCAACAGCTCTGAGGAAATGTCATCTGTTATGAATAAAAGAAACAGAGGCAAATAGAGAGGGATTGTGTGTTCATTCAGAAAGAGGGGCAGGAGGAAGCAAGCAGGAAGCCCATTTGAAAAGGAAAGGAAAAAAAGACTTGACAGGAAACTATCAGTTCTGTGGTGGTTAATGGGGTGCAGGTTTGGTGGAAGGGGTGTTTGTTTGAACATGCACAGCCCTTATGTTCTGCTTCCACCTTATCGCCCAGTGAATGAGGATGGATCGGCTTTTCTGCGCTCCGTGTTAACAGACAGCGCTCCTATCTTCTTGTCCGAAAGTTGTTTTCCCCACTCACTCAAACAACCTTTTAAGTTGCCTGTCGTTTGACTTATACCAGTTTCTTCTCTCAAACTAAACATATTCTTTTCTCCACAGTCTATTTCTATCTTTCTCTGCCTCGCTCACCTGTCCCGCCTCGTTTCCTCATCTCTCATTCAGAGCTATGAGAGTGAAAATCCACACAGATACACGAGTGCTGCCCCTTATCTGTGTTGTAGGACGGGTTGAGCGTTGGTGTGTGCTCCCATTGGCAGGTTGACAGCTGAGCTCTGGCTGTCATCGGAAACGCCGGGTTCTGACTACACCGTTATTGTACTCGAGCCGTTAGGCGGCTCTTTGCCACGTCAGATTTCTGTGCTGTGTGAGATTTTCTTGGTAAGACAATGATTGTAGATGTCCAATTGGTTTTCACTTCTCTTCTCAGTCAGATCTAATCCAGGTTTTGGCCATATGTTTGTGTCTTTTATCCGCCTTTGCCTTCTGCCTCAGACAGCGAGTTAACTCTGAGCTTGTTGAATTTTCTGTAGCCGCCGTCAATAAAAATGATGTGTGATGCTCATTTGATTCAACGTAAAATTTACAGGGGAAACAGAAACAGAGATGAGGAGAGACAAAGAGGAAGGCAGCAGGACACACAAACAAGCCACAGACTGAAACGGCTTCGTCACCTGGAAAACGTCTGTTTTCAGGGGGGACGACATGCAGCATGCGAGCAGAGAAAATAGTATTCCTGCTTGTTAGTGGCGCACAGAAACAGTTGTTTACTAGACACTTTAAATTCACAGTGGGTTCTGTTCAATTTATGCAATGAGCCATAACACCAGCTAGTGCAACCCAAAAGTAAACATCGGGGGCTAGCTACTATTAAAACTGAGCACAAAACAACAACAACAAAACTGATATTAATATGACAGAAATTAATTACTGGACTCAAAATGACTTGAAATGAGGTCAAAAAAAGGCAAGAAAAGATAGTGAGGGTAGAGATCTTTTCCTTCCCTCTGTCTCTGCAGTGGCTCACCGTTTTCACTTTCACTCCCTCTTTTGGTGTCTGCTTAGTAGTCAGGTTGAAACCCAGCATCTTATTGGCCAGCTCACCAACGACAGCGGGGCTAAAGGACAGAGGTTGTAGGTCAAACAATATCACTTCTTTGAAATAAATCTTTATCATAAAGCCAAAAAATAAAAGACTTCTAAAATAAAGGTGGAAAAAGCAGGAGGGGTCTACAGATGAAAGCGCATTTCTTCCCCTCTCAATAACTTTGTTCGGTTGAAAAGAAATATGTCTCAGCACTTTCTCGGTATTAGTCCAAAATATTCTGATGAAGGACAGCTTTTGGGTACACGTGCACACTGCTGTGAATCAAACTCCGCATTTTCTCTCCATTTAAAAGCAGCACGCATGCTGAGGCTGCTTCTGTTAGCCTGCTCTGCTTTTGCAAGTGAATACAAATGAAGCTCGGGGTTGTACTCATCCTTTGATAGATGAGAGGAAGGTGAACTGTGCACTCATGTCACTGTCTGGGGACGATGAACTTCACTGTATCTCACTTTGAAAAAGTTTCCGGCCTTTCCGAACCCCGAAGTAGGGTGATGATGATACATGCTTGGGACAATTGTCATAAATCACCTTTCTGCCTTTGCGGTGGCAGCAAGTTGTAGCTACCTTTACTAAGAAGACAGCATTTTTTTTTTTTTATTTATGTATTTTATACGGGGGAAACTTGGTGGAGGGAAATGCAGTTCCTGAGCAAAGTAAAGCTCTTTTAAGATTTGTTTAGCCTTTTGAAAAATGCATAAGATTTCAGAGTGAGCCCTCATTGAAGAAATACATCCATCACACTTCGCAACTCTGAGCAGGAACAAAATAGTAGCACAAAACCCAATAAACCCGAGCGGGGAAACTGAAAATGGGGTGAGTAATGCTTCAGTCGACCTTAAAGCCCCTTTTTCAACATTTAATTGAGGGTAGTTGTTCGAAAACGAGACAGTGGAAGAAAGAAAAATGTTTATTTGCAGCCCGAGTAATCCTGACTGTGTCTTTGTGCCTAGGGAGCATCTTCAGAAAGCTCTTTGAGCCTCCTCGCTGTAAAAGCCGCTGTTGTTGGAGAAAATAACATCAATCTATTTCCTACAGTAACTCACAGTGTGAAATGCACGTAGGGGCATACTTACTCCTTCGTTAAGTGCACTCCACCTTTAAGGCCGCTGTCGAACACACCCTTGCCTCTGCCCCCGGCCAGAATCTGAGCTTTCAGCACGATCTCTTTGGCATCTGAACAACAGAGTGAGACAGACAGAGAGATAGAGAGAGAGAGGGAACGAGACAAAAGGAGGAGAAGAGAAAGTCAGACGGAGCACTTAAGATATAAGCTCATGCCCTTGAACGCACCCTTGAGCCTGTCAATTATTTGTCCATATGATTGAAGGAAGGAAAGAGGGAGGAAGAAAACAGAAGGCTGGCTAACATTCCTTAGCAGAGTGATCATCTGCAAGACTTTGACTTTAGTTTATACTAAGGTCCTGTTGTAATGCATCACAAAGTTAACTCTATTAAGTCTACAGACAGCCGGATGGTGGAAAATAAATATCTTTTGTAACCTAATGTTATTCTTCTTGGCTCAGACAGTGACAGGTCTTAACCTTCCCACCAACCCAACAGGACTTGTGGACAACATCCTTTCATATACATTTCAGATAAGACTTCCTTAAACACCAATTATAGTGCATTCCAGATCTAAGGGCTCCCAATGAGACATTCATCTGTTTATAGTCCAGTAAAGAACATACCAGTTTTATCAATGGACACTTAAGTCCATTAATTAATGTTTTTTAAAGAAAAAGTACAGGTGGTTTAACTTGTCAACAGCATAAATGCATCTTTTAAAGATTATTTTTTGGGGCATTTTAACCTTTATTTGATAGTACAGCAGTGAAAACAGACAAAAAAAGTGGGGAGACAGAAGAGAGAGAAGGAGACACAGGTCAGCTTGAACCTGGGCTGCTGCACTATAGCCTTGTGGCATATGATCACCTGTTCACTCACTGAGGTAAACTGGATCTCTGAAATGCATTTTTTAAATAAATAAAAAGCAAAGGAAAATAAAAACCTCTGACCTGATGCTGGTGTTAGCTCAAAGGTCAAAGAAATACGAAACTAATGTGAAAAAAAAAACAAACATCTGTCTCAGCTGCTGAAAATGGTAAATACGAACAATATGAAGGGACATTAGCAGGAACACAACCTGGATGAAAAAGCAGTGTTATACTTACAAAGCATTTTTGTCACTAAGCTCCATGCTTTGTGTGTGTGTGTGTGTGTATTATATATATATATATATATATATATAATATTCTGTAACTCTGTAACTTCTGTCGGTGCTGTGCTTTTTTGGAAATCGAATTTCCCAGAGGAACCCACCCGAGGGATTAATAAAGTTCTATCTAATCTAATCTAATCTAATGCTTAATCATAATGTCAATAAAGCTCCTTTCAGCTGCTCTCTTATTCAAAAAGGGGTCGCCACAGCCGGTAGCTTCACATTTGATTTGGCAGATATTTATTTATTTAACATTAGACGCCCTTCCTGATAAAACCTCTCTGGAATTTGTGTCTCCTGCTGGGATTTTAACCAGGGAGCTTCTGCTGTTGGGCGGAAGTATAAAGCACTACACAATGTAGAGCCACTAACTGCGATGTCAGTACTGATTAAAATAACTGTGATGATCATTTTGGAGTTATCAGAGTATTAGTAGAACTACTTTCCCAAAGAAGTCAAAATCCTGGTGGCTATGCTAAACAGTACAGGAGAGCTTCTGAAGAACAGAAATGTCTACCAATTTCAGGTGATTGAATTTAACATATAAGCTAAAGTGGTGGACACACTGACAGAGGATTACCATTTCTGGGGTGATTGCCATTATGATAAATTTAAGAATTAAAAGATCCACATAAGGAAGAAGGAAAATAAAAACTTGGTAAAGCATTGAAGTCTTGGAAGTTTGGAAACATGACCTTGCCCTAATTACTTAACCACCCAGCATCCCCTTCGCTGTCACTGCCACCTTCCAAGCAGTCGCATCAGGAGGTCGTCTCTGAGCTTTCTCTTCCGCATCTTACCCACAATCCCGCACTATTCAAATGGATCAGAGGACACTTGATGAAAGATGGTCTACAGTTAGGTTATTATTATCTAGGTGGGGAGAGTTCAACCTTTGACAGGTGGCTGCCAGCACGTTGGGAAGTGGGTGGAGGGGGCGTAGAAACGTGGTTAAGAAGACACCTTGACCTTGGCTCCTCCCTTGATGGCATTTAAAAAAAATAAAAACTCTTGACGTCTAAGGGAAGGGTGGAATAGATCGAGGACCTGGTGAAGCTGGAGGGGCTAAAAATGTTTTCCATGTTCACTGTTGCTGCAGTTTAAAACAAAAAAAAGGAGGAAAAAGGGGGGGGAGAAAAAAGGACCCAGGGAATACAGGCTTGGACAGAGTGACAGGGATTAAACTAACACTGCATTAGTGAGGCCCGTTCTGCGAGGAGAGTTAAAGGCTGAGGGGAGAGGGGAAGCGAAAGCATGAAGAGATGGAGAGAGAATGAAAGGTGAGCTCGTATGCAAAAGGCTTTGAGAGCAGTTATAAATGAATAAATATGTTAATAAAAAAACTGCTACTGCACAAAATTAAAAAGAGTTCAAAGCAAGATGAGAAAGCATGTCCTGCGGGCATGTGCAGCGGAGAGGGACAGCACAGAGGAAATGACTTTTGCTTTAAAAAGAAGAAATAATATATAGAAAAAAGAAGCAAGTTAAAGAACAAGGATGTGGCCCAGCAGGGAGGTTGCATCATTGAGGTGTGAAGAAAGGTAAAGAACTAAGATAAGACGTCATAGCAAGTACACTAAAATATATAGAAGAAGAAAAGGGTATGTGGCGTGTTAAGGAAAGTAATGGTGTGAGAACAAGGCAGGTGTTCATTCTTGCTGCACTAGTAAGTGAAGCCAATCTGCACACAATAAGATATATAAGCAATTTCAGCATTTATGAATAGCCACAGAAGCTGTAATGTGCTGATAATAAGAGAAAACTTTAGAGGAAAAACAGAAGAAGCAGATATAATGTGATAAACTGTGAGTATTACCAATCACAAAGACAGCATGATTAAAAAGGACACACTTGCCTCTTCCCATCTCTCTCGGTCTCTCTCTCACACACACCATGTAGAATCTTACAAATAATGCTGTTTAACACTGAAACATCAATCTCAGTTGAAATGCATGGAAATTATAACAATGTCCTTAAAGATCAGAGTGAAAGAGCAGTGTGACCATTAGCTGGTAGTATGGCAGACAAGAGATGGCTTCTAACACTGAGAGAAAAAGGTTGGTCCATAATGAGAGCAGCGTGAGGACAGGATGGAAAAGGAGTAATAAAATGTAAAAAAAATCTGAAACAAGTCAAAGTTTTCTTATGTCAAACTGTAAAGAAAAAGCAGAAACAAGGGCACGTGTCTGAAGTTAATAAAGACACCAGCAAGCGCTGCTGATGAGTCACAGCTCAAGATGTTCACACAGTGGAAAAAATGCAATATTTAGCTCTAAACATCTGAAAGGTGACACAGGTGGGTGTTTTATCACAGGAACATTTTCTATGTTCTGATTACGTTGCTTTGTTGTATGTTTTCTTTACAGTACTGGCTAAGTGAATAATCCCTTTCTGTTATCCAGCCACAATAATTAAAAAAAAAAATCTCCTCAGACTGATATTAGTTTGCTTATCAGCTGAACGAGAATCCTCTTCTTAGTCGGAGGGAGACAGTGTTTCATAATCAGCTAACTGCTTCCATTTGTATCATGCATGGCCCTCTGTGAAGAAATGGAGCTAGATTTTCATCTTCATTTATTTTCCATTTCTTGGGGACACACGGAAGGAGATTAACATTGCACAACATCTCCGATCTCATCGTATGCAATTTGAGTAATGCGGTCATCATCCTCAGGCTTTACTTATTTCCCAGTAATGAGAGCAAATCAACTCCCAGTCTGCTTGCCAGTGAAGGCAGCTGGCAAAGAGGACGTTACTTCTGCAGTCGGTGTCTCTTTCACCCCGTTCTTTCTGTGCACTTTGAAAGGCTATTCTCTTCCCCCACCCTCCTCCCTCTGCATGTAGCTCATGAGCGGCCAACAGCACAGTTAGCTTTGGTCTGATATTTAATTAAGCCTTCGAGGCTGCGCCATGAGGGGGAATGCTGCCTGGTAAGGGACAGATGCGGGCTATGCGCCAATCCGGAGAGAGTAAGATGAGGCTACCATCTGCAAGGAGAGAGAAAAAGATCAGGGTGGCCCTCCCCGACACTCATGTGCTGTAATGAAAGTAATGCGGCGGCTAAATGGGGAAGACTAATCAAACTCTTGGGAGTAAGGAGAAAACAAACACAAGCCACGAACAGCTACAATCAAACACAGCCAGTCTGAGTCTCAGCCTTCCTATGGATAAATACCATTAACACCAGAGGAAAGACAGTAAATAAAAAAAATAAAAAGAAACGCAGTCAAACCCTCAACATCTGTGCTCGATTATGATGCCAGACAGCGCTGATTGCTGTCGAACAGGTGGAATCTGTTCTTTAGAAGAAAAAAAAAAAAGAAGAGGCCGGAAATGTCAGTCTACAGGATCATTAAAACAAGTAGCGTAGGCACAATTATACTTTCCCAGTATAGAGCTATTTTACGATAAGTAGGAGGAAAAAAACAAAACAATCTGCACCTCCATTTGCTTCCATCTAGAAGCACATAGCGTACCTTTAAATAACTTCAATTATGCTGTCAGCTGCATATTGATGTCAAGAAAGCTAGTGACTCTGTCGACTCTAGTTTATGAGTCACTTTGCCGCAGTGATTTTTGGCTGTGTCACAACTATGTATCAGTAATATTGTGAAAATGGACTCATAATCTACTACGGCACCATAGGCAACGCAGGAAACTAATGATCCGAAACAAAGAAACCATCTAATAAGCTTTACTAATTGTTTAAGCACAAAAGTGAATATGTGCGCCGGGTTTTTACCTTTCATGTGAATTAAAAGGCAAATTTAGGGCCAGCGCTTAGTTCTGTAAAATGCCTAGTGTAATAGCCTTATCAACACATTTTATTTTAATTACACTTAGGCACCATTAGGGCAAGTGCACAGAGCGGGTCATGTTTAATGACTGCTTGCATAATGATTTCATTTACGACTCCCATTTCCAGAAATGCTGGAATGCGATGTAAAATGTAAAT